AATTTCGAGTGATCTTATTACAGCACGAAACACTGCAAAAACGCATGATCGCACGGGCCTGCCCAGTGCGCGTCGCCAATGATTTCCTCAGTGATGCGACATTTCCCTCATTTTTTGAAATGAGAGTTATTTTGTAGTTGTGAAATGTGAATATATGAATGCGGGCGGATCGGTAAAGGATCGAATTGCGCGCCGAATGGTTGAATTAGCCGAAGAGAGTGGTCGACTGAAACCCGGGATGACTATAATCGAGCCTACAGCTGGGAATACTGGAATTGGGCTGGCGCTTGCTGCTGTCATCAAAGGCTATCAGTGTATCATTGTGATGCCCGAAAAAATGAGCAAAGAGAAGGTTCCCCGCAATTTTTCTACTTTTAACTGTTGCAAACATTGATTGCCAACTGATAAACAGAAGACTTTGCGCTGAATAAATATCCATAATTGACGTTTTTTTTTGTGCTAAAATGGCGCTAGGTGAGATTTTAAAACTGATTGTTGCGTTGTGCATCAAGAAAAACCCCTAAAAGTTTGAGCTTCTAACTCGATACTTTTCAAATTTCTATTATTAATTTGTACTCATTATTTCTTGCTGATACTGCGTTTTAGTCCTTATAGCTGATGAAACTTGATGAGGTCATCGAGTTCTAAAAGACAGTTTCCGGGATAAGCTATTGAAATGCAATACAGGGGGATCTCGTATCACAACCTTAAAAGTTTATGAGTTAGACTAGTTTGTGTGCCGTATGTGTGTGTGTGTGTGTGTGTTCATGAGTATGTATGGGTAGTCAGCACCTAGTTATAGGTATATATTTATGTACAAGAAACTAAGGTCGTACAGCGTAGAGTGAAATAGGGAAACAACAAAAAAGTGGCGAGGCTCTGGAAAAAACACTTGGGACGACTAAAGTCTTTGTTAAGTGTTTCTGACGGGAGAATCGTTGGGCTGCTAGTCTTTCAAAAGAAATAAATAGCAACGCGCACCAGACTACCCGGTGCGATCATGCGTTTTGTGCAGCTCAGCCCATCGAACGATTGCCTGTTAATGATTTTCACTTCCTTGTACTTTAGTCTATGCAAAAAT